AAAGTGCCACCAGACTCCTTGTTGTTTTTAGAAAAAGAAGAACAGGAGGACTTGTGGCACCTTAGAGACTAACAAATTTATTAGAGCATAAGCTTTCGTGGACTACAGCCCACTTCTTCGGATGCATATCTTCTTTTTGCGGATACAGACTAACACGGCTGCTACTCTGAAACTTGTTGTTTTTGTAGATACAGACTAACACGGCTACCCCCTGATTCCTGAGTTTTAAGCCATTCTCCTGAGTTTTTGGGCCTGACTCCTGGTTTGGCGGCGGCTGAGGTTGGCAGCACCACCAAGGCCCCCTGGCGGTTATGAGCCCATTGGGGACTTCAGCAATTTACCATTCCTGCAGAGGGCAGGTGAGATCAGTGAGTGGTGCAATCCCTCAGACCAGCCCTTCTCCAGGAGGTGCCTGACTCATCTGAGACCTAAAACAACCTCGGCCCCACCCTAACCCAGTCCTGTGCTCTGTCTGACACTGCAAATCACTGACAACATGCTGAATCAGGAAGCTGAGGCTACTGGGAGCTGTCTACGTGCTGCCCTGGCGCTCCTGAGCCCAGCCCAGCCCACCCGCTGCACTGAGCTGCCAATCGCCCACAGCACTTGTTCTCCCCAGCTGCACTGCAATCAAGTTAGGACGGTGTGCGACCCCATCCAAACTGCCATGCAGATGGGATCTGATGCCCCAGGGCGTAGCCCAGTTACAGAGGTCCTGTCCTGGCTGTATCCATGTCCATAGGTTAAGGTTGATGGAGATAGGTGCCACCAGACTCCTTGTTGTTTTTGTTGATGGAGAGACGGCTTTAAACTGCAAGTGCCTCTGGCAGCTCACAGCCTCTTCTCTCTAGGAACTGACTTTTGTAGCAAAGAGCAGGGGACCAGCCAGCCACGCTCCACACTGCAGGCCCGTGCATGCTCCCTCTGCTTGCTTGCAGCACAGCTCATAGCCAGGCGCAGGGCTGCTGAGCCTGGGTACCATTGTGGGCAATGGCCTAACCTTTCCCAGCCCACCCTGGGGCTGGACTCCCCCTCAAGCTACCTGGGTCTCGGATCCTGGCACTGGGCTCCCCACTCACTGGGCCCTGGAACCGCCTCCCTCCCCCTGGTGGGGGTCACTTTACAGCACACTGGCTGCCACCCCAACCTAGTCCCAGAAAGGCCTTTGTGCTCCGTCAGTGACACCCTGCCCGCGAGCGTTCAGGACACAGTGAGGCAGCCAGAGCTTCTGCTCCCATCTGCCAGCCCCTGTGGGGAAGCCCTGGGCTGGAGCCGTCCTGCCAGTGACTTGGCCAGGGCCGGAGGCGGCCCCTGGATCTGTAATTTAGCGTGAATTCCTGTCTGCTCTCCCACCAGGGCAGGGCTGCTCAGCACAGGGTGACACTCACCCACCCTTGCCCCACCTTCCTCACTAATGAAATGTCTCTTGATTGGGCTCAGTCACCCTCTGAATGCAGCCAGGGCTGTAAATTGCCAGGTCCCTTTAATCTCAGTTAATTGCCATGTGCCTCTGGGGCGATTAGCTGCTGTCAGGGCAGGAGCGGCTGATGGCTGGGTGGGGGGTGTCTTTGTTCAACAGACAAAGGCAGCAGTGTAAACGCCAGCCTGCCGCCCTGTCCCAACAGTCTGGGCTCTACCTGCGTCTCCTCTCAGAGACGGACAGTCCTGCCCAGACAGGGCCAGGCCTAGTGGGCAGGAAATGCCAGCTACCGATGGCACTCAAGGGATGGAGCCATGACAAGCAAACTCCCCCTCCCAGTCACTTTGCCTCCCTATGCCAGAGTGAGCCCAGCTGTAAGAGTGGGAAACCTGCGTGTGGCTAAGGGGAGGCTGAGCACATGTGTGGGTGTTTGCTAGGGGAAGGGCACAGCAGCGGCTGTAGCAATGGAGACGTAGTAATTATTCAGCTCGTAGCAGTGCCCAGAGGCCCCTGGCGGGATCAGGACTGTGCGAGTTGGATTGTTATTTATGAACGCTGCTATTTGATTGCTTCTCTAAGCACTGAGATTCCTGGCAGACGCCAGGGCTCTGGCCATGTTAGAGCGAGCAACCCCACTTACCTTCCTGAGCAGGGAGCCGGGCAGGGCCTGCAGGACCCTGGCTGGGTGGTTTGTCGGGTCTGCTCCTGCCAATGGTACCAACAGGACAAGACTCAGGCCCCTCAGTCTGGGTGATTCGACAGGTCCAGGAGGCAGCGCGCTGAGACAGACAGCACAGGACTGCTCTGGGAGGCCGCTGGGGCACCCAGGCCTGTGAACACCCCTTTGTCTCCAAATACCATGGTGTTAACGCACTTCGCCTCCGGCTCTGAGGGTCAGACTTTATTACCTGGCTCCTCCCCTCCATGCCACCGTGCCTGGATGTGCCCAGCCGGCTGCTGGCAGGCCGGGTCCAGGGAGATTCTCCTCCCACTGAGGCAGGGAGTCACGGGGCAGACAGACTGTGCGTGTTACCCTCCCCTGGGCTGGCGGGGGGCAATCAGTCAGCTGGCGAGAGCTCTGCTGTGTGGACACCGTCCCGTCCCAGAGGGGGATTAATGGGCAGCGGAGAGGTGGGATTATGGTTCATTCATCAGGAACGGGTTCATGTCTCGCTTGCCAAGCCCCACGTGGGTGGCACATGGGAGAAAGCAGGTCTCTTTCCCACACAACACACTCCGAAGCCCCAGCCTCAAGATATGGCATCTGGGAGTCAAAAAACCCCAGCAGGTGTGTGTGTGTGTGGGGGGGGGTGTTTGCTCCTGAGAGGCCACAGAGAGAGAATGGATTAGCCCAGCCTGCCCCATCCACCGCACAGAATGGTTACTCCAGCTGGGAAGCCAGGACTCCCTAACCTTTCCCACCCTGAGAATCTGCCACTTGGATCCCAGGGGATCCTCTCCCCAGCCCCACACTCACTCCAGAGGAAGAAGGGAGTTAATCTGTAACTGGCTGCAGAGCCCTTGAGCCTTTGCAAACAGGGAGCGCCTGCCCCGCAACTCCCCCAGCAGCTCAGGGGAGCAGGGGCAAATGTGGAGGGCCCTGGGCAGAGATTCAAAGCAGAGCGTGAGTGCCAGGCTGATAGCAGGGCACGAGATGCAGCAGGGGCAGGGCAGAAAGGGCAGCGTTACACCCCAAAGGAGCTGGCCCCACAGCCTGGCCTGAACCCAAAGGAGCTGGCTGTGGGGCTGGGCTGCCCTGACAGGAGAGTCTGGTTCTGAGCCATGTGGGTTTGAGATAAACATTGTGCCACCTACACTCAGCCACAGGGGTCTGCACTCAGCATGCCAGGGAGCCACGGAGGACTAAGAGCTGTTTGCCTCTCCCTATCTGGCTGCATCAGACTCCCAGCAAGGCTGGGTGGAGGTGCCCCTCTCTGGGACACTGGGGGGGCAGCCTGGGGCATTGCCTGTGTCGATACACTCCCTGCTCAAGCCAGTCCCTGCCCTGAGGCTCGGCCTGTTTGTTGTCACAGAGGGATGTGGCTCTGGCTGCTTTCCCAGGAACTGGCTTCTCTTTTCATTGCATTCCTGGGATACCTCTGGACAATGGCAGACACCCGCATTGCCCCAGGGCCAGAGGAGCCTGAAGCTAGCCCAGACCCAGCAAGGGCGTGGGGCAGCTGCACACAAAGGAAAGGAATTCACGGCAGAGAGGCTGGGGCTAGGGCAGTCACCCCATTCTTAGCAGAGCGAATGGAAACGCCATGCCATGGGCTGGGCTCCCACAGGCTCTGAGTGGGGCCGATCCATCAGCATCATTGACTGGCACCCTATTAATCCCATCCAGAGACCCAGGCAAACAGTCCAGCCGGTTGTCAGCTGGGTGAGCGCTGCACAACCCTCTGGAAGGGAAGGGTTAACAGCAAAGGGGGAGAGGGGCCATGGATTCCTCGATTCCATGGCCAGAGGGACCATTGTGATCATCTAGTCTGACCCCCTGGATAGCAGGGGCCAGAGACCTGCCCCAACGAGATTCCTAGGGCAGAGCTGTGAGAAAAAACAGCCCGTCTTGAGTTAAAAATTGCCAGGGCTGGAGAATCCCCGATGACCCGTGGTAAATTGTTCCCATGGTTAATTACTCTCATCATTCAAAACTGATACCTTATTTCCAGTCCCAATTTAACTATGTCAGTTTCCAGCGTTGGATCCTGCTTGACCCGTCTCTGCTCGACCTAAGAGCCCAGTATCAAATTTATGTTCC